AGAGAGGTTTGGAGCCTTGAGGAGAGGCTACAATTCTAGAAAACTGAAATTGCTAAGAGAAATGAGCTTTAAACACTAGAAAAAAATAACCTCTATAAATCAGGTGTGTGATTTTGCTCAGGGGTTTTGTTTGTTGTTTTGGGGGGGGGGGCTGTTTTTTGTTTTGTTTTCTGTCATTTGTGGTAGATTTTTAAAAATATTTATTATTTTTATTTTATGTTTATGAATGCATTGCCAGCATGTATGTGAGTACACCCATGTCATGCAATGCCACGGAGGTCAGAAGAGGGCCTCAGATTCCTCTGAAACTGGAGTTAAGGATGGTTCATAGCTGCCATGTAGGTGCTGGGAATCGAAACCAAGTCCTCTGCAAGAGCAGTCAGTGCTCTTAACTGCTGAGCCATCACTCCAGTCCCATAGCTTTCTTTTTAATCAAAAACAAAAGGCTCAAAACACTATGAGCCTGAATCAGAACTCCTGGAGCACACTCATTTGGGGATCTCAAAGACTAAGCTGAGGGACCACCAGGGTTCAAACAGGGACTCTAGGTGAAAGAAAGCAAACTGGCACAAAGCCAAGGCCAGAACATGCCTCTGGACTACTGAAACACCAACAGCTCTTCTCTGTTCAGTCTACACCAAGGGTTTGAATTCAACACAGCCTTCTGAAAATAGCTCAAGTTCACACACCCATAAAAATTTGATGCCTACTGTATACAGGTTCTCTGCGGCATTCTAGAGCTCCAGTGAATGAAACAGAACCTGTCCTGGGGCCTCAGCTGTGTTTGTCACTTCCCTAAATAATAGCACATGGCAGACAGACAAGCACAGTATCAAAATACACCTCTTGTTCCTTCAGCAGCTGCATCTGAGTAAAGTATTTCTCTCCTCCAACGAATCTGTCATCTGTGTCTATGCCTTAAACCAATAGCCATATGGATTATTAACAAACTCCTGTATATTTGTACAACGGGAAATACCCAGCTAGCAATGGAGACAGGGAACAGGGGAAGCTTTCCTGAGAAAAACACAGGGAGACCAGAACACTGAAGAGGTATATAATAGCAACAACAAAAAGTCCCAGGTAAAAGCTAATGGCCTCCATAGTTTGCTCCCTCCAGGCTCAGGCTCTTCCTCCTACTAATCAACAGCATCCTTCCAACAACTGCTATCTCAAGGCAAATGTTATCTCAACCCAGCCCCAGCTCTGTCATACCAAAAACACATTAGTTCTAGTGCAAAACTGTTCCAGGTCCCAACCACCTGCACTGCTGCAACTCTGTCACAGGAGCTCCCCTCAGTGCCCTAGCCTCTCCTGGGTTCCCTGTCTCTACCTTCCTACTCCAGACTGCTCCAAAGCAGTGGCAGCCAGAATGGTCCCTCGGCTCAGGAGATAGAAATTATCATGAAGATATGTTTCCAATTATCCTGTGATGGCTTTTCTGTTTTCAGCCCTAGCTCCTACCTTAAAGGGTAATTTTTAAAAAACTAGATGAGAGGGATAGGGATAGAACAGGTCAAGAAGCAGACCAGTTACTAGGACACAGTTTCGGCTGCCAGGAATCTCCAACACTCTGACTTAGAGCATGGCAATTTTACCACAACAGTCTGAACTCTGCAGAGAATTTGTAGGCTACAGATGTGACCTTATTATTTTCCATTTTCCTTGAAAGCCAACTCACTTTTTCCCTTTTATGTTGTTAATGGTATATAAAAGATGGGCTGACACATGGCCACAAAAAAGGGTAGGCTGTGCAGATGACACATACCTATAATCCCTGCACTTGGAAGATAGAGATAGGAGAAGGAATTCAACATCAAGATCATCCTCCAAAGTTTGAGGCCTCTCAAAAACAAACAGGCTGGGGATGTGGCTCAGCCAGGTGAGCGCTTGCCTAACATGCACATGTTTCAGGTACAAAAACAAACAAACAAACAAACAAAAAAAAAACAGGAGTGGTGATACACACCTGTAATCACAACACTTGGGAGGTGAAGGTAGGAGGGACCAGAAGTTCAAGGTAACCCTCAGCTAAAAAGTAAGTTCAAGGCCAGCCTAGAGTATATGAGACCCTGTCTCAAAAAGAGAGAGAGAGAACAGATGAGAAAGAAAAGAAAAAAAGTCCTAGAAAAAAAAAATCAAACTGTTTTCAGTAATGTGAAGTCTTATTATTCTGGGACTTACATACATGCACCACCTGTGATAAAGCAAAAAAAAATAATTATGGCTTTAAGAAGGAGCAATATAGGGTTACAGAAAGGCAATATAGGGGTAAGATCAGTGAGGTCAGTAAAATCCTCAAACTACTAAATTTAATTTGGAAGTAACATCTGAATTCAGAATATATTTTGTATGTCAAGAAAAAAGCCAGGCATAGTGGCCCATGCCTTTAATCTCAGCACTCAGGAGGCAAAGGAAAGATGATCTCTATGAGACCGAGGTCAATCTATACATAAGGAGTTCAGGGTTAACTGGGACTACAGGGAGATCCTATTTCAGAAACAAAATAAACAAAACAAACAACAACAAAATCCACAGCAAATGTGTTAAAAAGCCAAGAGTATGTACTGATATAAAAACAAAACATTTTAAAACTTTGGAGAACATTATTTTTTAAACTGAGCAAAACGAAATAAAATTTCTTTTATAAAAGAATAAATAAATATTGGCAATCAAATATTTATTAGTGAAGCATTGGTGGCAAAAGGGTTATCATTATAGAAATACTCAAATGGAAGGAAGGAAGGAAGGAAGGAAGGAAGGAAGGAAGGAAGGAAGGCAGGAAGGAAGGAAGGAAGGAAGGAAGGAAGGAAGGCAGGAAGGAAGGAAGGAAGGAAGGAAGGAAGGAAGGCAGGAAGGAAGGAAGGAAGGAAGGAAGGAAGGAAGGCAGGAAGGAAGGAAGGAAGGAAGGAAGGAAGGAAGGCAGGAAGGAAGGAAGGAAGGAAGGAAGGAAGGAAGGCAGGAAGGAAGGAAGGAAGGAAGGAAGGAAGGAAGGCAGGAAGGAAGGAAGGAAGGAAGGAAGGAAGGAAGGCAGGAAGGAAGGAAGGAAGGAAGGAAGGAAGGAAGGCAGGAAGGAAGGAAGGAAGGAAGGAAGGAAGGAAGGCAGGAAGGAAGGAAGGAAGGAAGGAAGGAAGGAAGGCAGGAAGGAAGGAAGGAAGGAAGGAAGGAAGGAAGGCAGGAAGGAAGGAAGGAAGGAAGGAAGGAAGGAAGGCAGGAAGGAAGGAAGGAAGGAAGGAAGGAAGGAAGGCAGGAAGGAAGGAAGGAAGGAAGGAAGGAAGGAAGGAAGGAAGGAAAGAAGGAAGTGAAGGAGGGAGGGAGGGAGGGAGGGAAGGAAGGAAGGAAGGAGAGAAAGAATGAGAGAAAGAAGGAGGGAGGTAAGGGGCTGCAGAGATGGCTTAGCAGTTAAGAGCACTTGCTGCTCTTCCAAGGTATCCAAGTTCAATTCCCATGCAGGCAGTTCACAAATACCTATAACTCCAGCTTCAGGGGATTAGATGCCCTCTTCTGGCCTCCACAGGCACACACAAATAAATTAAAATGAAAATATTTTTAAAAAGAAGAGAAATGATGGGTGGGCTTCTAGCTTAGTGGGACATGCTCTGTCTACAGGAGGTCCTGGATTTGATCCATAGGACCAATAAATAAATGTGAAATTAACTTGTGATTTATTCTGTTTCTCATCTCATGGATACTTTCTGTCACTGTTTTTCCTCTCTCCCAACAAAAACCTTCTAAAGAGTAGAACCCTGTCTGTCATAAGCTCCATGTCATCCCAGGACCCACCCCAATGCCTGGTATGAGACAGCTGACCTGAGTTCCAGTCCCTGCCCACCACTGTTGAACAAGCACCAGAATAATCTAGAATGCACCCACCCATCTCCAGGGCTGGAATTCAATCAGCATCTGTGCTGACCTCATGCTTATGTGTAAGATGGAAATAGCATATCTCTCAGCAAGCTGTCTGACACTTGCTGAAAGGCCTTCATCTGCCCACTCTTTTTCATTCACGCACTCACAGTCAACTCTTAAATCCTCAAGTCCTACAAAAAGTATGAACTAACCATTCCTGCAAAACAGAAGGGGGGCGGTAGATGTGATCAAGATACATTGTACGCATGTACAAAATGTCAAAGAATAAGTAAAACTGTTCTTTGGCTGGGTGTGGTGGTACACGCCTTTAATCCAGTACTTGGGAGGCAGAGGTAGGTGGATCTCTATGAGATAGAGGTGAGCCTGGTCTACAAAGCAAGTTCCAGGCCAGATCTTGTCTCAAAAGAACAACAACAAAAAAACCACTTTAAAAAAGGAATAGCATTAATATAATGCTGCAAACATTAGCTAAAAGTAAACACTCACTCAGTCACCAAACATTCCTGGGGATTCTGCTGAGTGCCAGGCAGGATCATAAGGATACATAAGGATAACCACAGAATAAATATGCCTAAGTCTTTGTTTTTGAAGATGCTTTCTCTATCAAATGCATAAAGGAAGGAAAACATGATGATATAAATGGGTCAGTGGCATGTGAATACACAGAGCTAGAGGACATTTCACCCAAGCCATCCTCACACTGAACGCAGCTCAGGAAAGGTCTCCTCCATCTCTTCATTTCGAAGTTATCAACTCAAACTCCCAGGCTAAAGTAAACCTGGGCCACTTCTAGCCACACTCACAGCAATGAAGTTGCAGTTGGTCTGAAAACCCAAGGGAATACTGGAAACCCTCCAAAGGAATTCGATCCTTTTGTTTTTCTGGGGTCTTGCCAGCCGTCCAAACCAAAATGGAGCTGTTGGCTCATCCATCAAAGACTAAATGCCAACTCCCTTCCCAGGGAACACAATGCCCTTCTATTTCAAAGACCCCTCGGCAACTTGCTCCGTGTCACCAACTAAGGATGTCAGATTCAAGTCTTTCAGAACTAATTCCAAACATAAGGCTCTCTTCTCCTCTGTTAAAAATAGGATTTAATAACACATAAAAACAATTTGCAAATAACTTACCTCAAATTCTTCCCAAAAGCCCTGTTTGACTTTATCTGTGGTCTCAGCTAGTTTGCTTAGCTCTCGAACCCGGCTTTCAATTTCAGCAGCATTAATACGAGTTGTGTTGAGGGGCTGACCAAGTTCAGCAATTGGTGGAAAAGTAAGAGAATACGTTTTAACAGAGTACTGATGTAGAATATCACAAAAACAAAGACGGAATTCACATGATCTAAAATTTTTTAAAGTTTATTACTGTGTGTATATGCAGGACAGGATGGGGTGCACACGTGTAGGTTCAAAGACAACTTTGTGGTGTTGACTCTCTCCTTACACATTTACATGGGTTCCAAAGATAGAATACAGGTCATCAGGCTTTGTGTAGCAAGTGCTTTACCTGCTGAGCCACCTTGCCTAGCCTCATGACTGGGTAACCTCTTCAGAGGATGTGTGATAAGAATAGGAGGAAGGAATTGGCTAGGCAGGTAAAAAGACCCCAGTTTCTTGGCTAAAAGTCAAAATGTCCTTGGGCCTTTTAGCAACATACTCTGTTCAAAAGTCCAAAAATGTCAAAAGTATTTGGGAGCTCTTATCTAATCCCTAAAAGATTTTAGGGTTACCTCTTTAGAAGGGGGAATGTTAGAGTAGCAAAAAGCCCCATAAAAAAAAAAGAAAGAACTAAAGAGTACATGAAGTTGTCAGAAAAAAGTGATGGGGAGATATGGGAGGAGTTGGAGGGGAGGGAGTGGGCATGGATTTAAACAAAACACCTTATATGCATGTATAAAATTCTCAATAAATTTTTTTAAAAGATTTAAAAAAAAAAGTGCAATTTCACTTTCTTTTCTGTTCTGTCAGGAAATGTTTTTCTTCTATCTCAAATATTTTACTCTGATGATATAAATTCAAACCCAGATTCCCAGATTTCTTTGCAAATAGCATGAGTTAGAGATGAGACCACTGTCAAAAAAAAAAGTGTAAACTGGTCAAGGCAATGGTGGCACACACTTTTAAGCCCAGCACTCCTGGGTGGCAGAAGCAGGCCTATCTCTGCAAGATAGAATCTCTATGAGATACAAGTCAACCTGGTCTACATGGTGAGTTCCAAGCCAACTGAGGCTACAGGGAGACCCTACTTTAAAAAACCTCTAGCTGGTGGACTAGAGGGATGGTTCAGTGGTTAAGAGCACTGACTGTTCTTGTAGAGGACCCAGGTTCTGTTCCCAGAACACACATGGTAGTTCACAACTGCCTATAACTCCAGGGGATCCATGCCTTCCTCTGGTCTCCATAGGCACCAGGCAGGCACATGGTGCACTTACATACATGCAGGCAAAACACTCATACACATAAAAATAAATAAGTAAAAAAAAAAAAAAACTTTTAAAAAAGTCTAGCCAGGCATGGTAATGCACATTTATAATCCCAACAATGACACAGGAGGACCAAAAGGGTAGCAGAACTATATAGAAAGACCACATTAAAAAAAAAAAAAAAAAAAATGAATATCTACATAAAGTCTATCTGAGTGGTTACTATAAAAGAAAAAAGAAAAAAAAGGGGGCTACATATGTAGCTCAGTGGTAGCACACATGCACAAAGTCCTGGTTTGATTTCCCAGCACTGAAGGAAAAATAGTAAAACCTTTCTAAGCCAGGTGTGGTGGCACAAGTCTTTAATCCCAGCATTCAGGAGGCAGAGGCAGGTGGATCTCTGTGAGATCGAGGCCAGCCTAGTAGTCTACATAGCAAGTTCCAAGCCAGCTAGAGCTGCAGGGAGACCCTGTCTCAAAAAGACACATACATATATACATACATACATACATAAATCCTCTCTAAGGGGGCTGGAAGTATAGCTCAGTGGTAGCTCATGGTATGCTTAACATGCACAAGGTCCTAGGTTCAACCAAACTCCCCAAAACAACAAAAACCTCTATGAGGTCTTTCAAAGATACATGTGGGAATGACAGAACATCTAGAATCTGTTTCCTATACCACAGAAGGTAGTCAGTGAATGAAGTATCTAAAGAGTATATGAGCTGACCATAAGTGAAGATGGGTCAGGATGTGAGGAAACTGACATGATTCTGTCTGTGTGCATTATACTAAGATCTTAAATGTCACCCAAGGGCTTATGTGCTGAAGGCTTGGTCCAGAGCTCTAAGGGTTAGGGGAAGTATTGCAATCTTTAGGATTTAAGGCCTATTGAGAAGAAGACAGCTCATTAGGAACATGTCACTGAAGTAGATTAGGGCCCCACCCCTTCCTCTCTCTGCTTCTCAGCCATAAGGTAAACAGACCTCCTCCCCTAAATGCTTCTACCATCATAAACTATGCTACCACAGGCCCCAAGCAACAGGATCAGGTGACCATGGACTGACCCTTTCCCTATTACACGGTCCCTCAAGTTATCTTGTCACAGTGACTGAAGGCTGCCTGGTACACTCTGCATATGTCAGAAGTTCCATATTGGATTTTTTAAATGCTGAGGAGAAGGAGGCTTTCCAACCTGCTTGAGCTGCAGTACTGTACCCAGCGTTTCTACCATGGGATTCTTCTTGTAATGCTCCACCAGGTCTGTCAAAGAGTCAAACCGCTCTCCTCCACCAACATCATATTTCAGCTCCTTCCACAACAAAACAGACAATGCTTATATTAATGCTTTATATTAAGGTTACACTTTTTCCTATACTCCCATGGCCACTGCATTTTTATTCATGTCACCCAACAGATCAAAACAACCCACATATTCCTCTATAAGAATATATATTACATATGTACCATATATGTTTAATTATGATCAGTCTTATGAAGAAAACCCTATCATTTGCAAGAACCCAGATGAGCCAGGAGGGCACTACATTAAATCAAAGAAGCAAGCAAGCACTAAAAGACTTATGATGTCATCTCATTTATATGTGGAAACCAAATATATCAAATGCACAGGGACAGCGATCAGAACAGTGTAATCGGGGCCTTGGGAGCAGGGAAGAGGAGGTACTAGTCAATGCAAAGAACCTTCTCTATAAATTCAAGAGACCTAACATGCAGCACAGTGACTATGGTTAATAACAGTATCATATACTTGAAATTTGCTAAGAAAGTATATCTAAAGTGTTTTCTGAAGTATACCTACCAGAAAGAGAAGGGGGAAAAGGCGACTGTATGAGGTGATGGGTGCATTATCAGACTGACTATAAAAACTACAACCATTTCCCCAACCAAAACCCTGAGACCAACTTTCCCTCATCAACAGAAAACTCAAATAGCAGTGATAGGAAAGGAAACGACAGGGCTGATAAAAGGGGGAAAGACTTGAGACAAGGGGAGGAGGCTGAGTGTAGCTCAGTGGTAGAGCAGGTGTCCGGCAAGTGTGAAGTCCTGGGATCCATCCCAGCACCAAAGAAAGTAAATAAAACAAAATGAAATCTAAATAAAATCTAGCCTCTACACACCCTGCAATACACATTCAGTCCATTCCAGATTCCTTCCAGTTCCTAACATAATGTCAATACCATGTGACTAGCTATGGTGCTATACTGCTTAGGGCTGGAGATAAGAAAAGGTCTACATGTGTTTAGATGTTGGACTGCTTTTCTAAATATTGGTGACCCCCAGTTGGGTGGATTCACAGATGCAGAATCCAGAGATATGGAGGGCCAAATGCATAGTGTCAGGTCAGACAGTGACAATCCTCATGAAAAGCCAAGGTCTGCTGTGTAAAAGCCAAGGTGTGAGACCAGTTCTAGTAGATCGCTCAGGACAGAAGGCAGTACACTGAGGCATCAGCCACAGACAGACCACAAAGAAAATGTGCAATGGAAAGCGGGGCATGGTGGCCCAGGAGGACCAAGAGCTCGAGATTATCCTCAGCTATCTGTTGAATTTAAGGCCAGCCTGAGATACATGAGATCCTGTCTCAAAAAAAAAAAAAAAAAAAACTAAAATAACAACAGAAAAAGTAATGGCACTTCAAAACAACAAAACATTTACAATAAATATGTAAAAGGCCTTGAGCAATAAGCAAAGAAAACCTGAATGTAAAAAAAAGAACTAGAGATACTAATATCTTGTCTTCTCCCAGCAGAAGCCCCCAAGACGACTGCCACTGAAACTGCCCCAGATCCACAGGTCCCATGAGCTCTACCTGACAGCGGATCATGACGTGGGTCACTTTGGACTTGCCATCGTTGCTCTCCCCTTTGTCGTCACCTGTGCGAACTGAGAGAACGAAGTCGCCAGGGTGGCTCTGGCTCTCCCGGACAAGAAAGCTGCCATGCTTCCCCTTCTCCGTTAGTAGCTTCTCTGCTTCTTTTCCAGACAGGTGACCATGGAACCACCTACATGTTTGAAAAGGGAAAGGGGCCAAGTTCAGCCAGGGTGTGCACATACCACACATAGTCATCTCTCCTGAGCAAAGCTTTCAAACAGACATCTTCCTCCAGCGGACTGAATGTTTCTACTAGACAGATTCTGCATTCCAAGCAGGCAGGAAAAATGACAAAGATATGTTAAAAAATAACTATTAAACTTTTTCATAGGTTTTATTTTTTAATTTTTGGTTTTGTTTTGTATGTGTGTGCGTACGTGCGTGCCTGTGTGTTGTTTTGCTTTGCTTTTTGAGACAAGGTCTCAATACATAGCCCAGGCAGGGCTTGAACTTTGACCTTTCTGCCTCAGGCTCTTGAGTGCTGAGATATAGGTAGTGTCACCACTCCCAGCTACCACTAAACTCCTTAAAGAAACCCAGGGTCATTTGGAAACAATATTGTCAATGCTTCCCATTTCCTCTTAAATTGCCCATCTTTAAAAAATGTAATTTAGGCTGGGCGTGGTGGTGCTCACCAGTAGTCCCAGCACTAGTGAGTTCCAGGTCAGCTGGGGCTACAGGGAGACCCTGCTTCAAAAAGGCAAAAAAAAAAAAAAATTGTAGTTTAGCTGGGTGGTGGCACACACCTTTAATCCCAGCACTAGGGAGGCAGAGGTAGGTGGATCTCTGAGTTTGAGGCTAGCCTGGTCTATATAGCAAGTTCTAGGCCAGCTGGGGCTACAGGGAGACCCTGTCTCAAAAATACCAAAAAAAAAAAAAAAAAAGAAATTTGCCAGGCTGGAGAGATGGTTCAGCAGTTAGGAGCACTGACTGCTCTTGCAGAGGACCCTGGTTCAATTCCCAGCACCCACATGGTGGCTAACAACTCTCTGTAACTCCAATTCCAGGGGATCTAACATCTTCTTCTGACCTGAGGGCACTGCACAATATGGGTGCACTTATACACAATGCAAGGAATACACTCATACATATAAAATAAAAATAATGAGGGGCTGTAGAGACGGCTCAGCGGTTAAGAGCACTGACTACTCTCACAGAGGACCCGGGTTCAATTCCCAGCACCCATATGGCGGCTGCGAACGGTCCTTAACTCCAGTTCCAGGGGAATCCGAAGCCCTCTTCTGACCTCCACGGCATCGCATGACAAGGATGCACTCACATACATGCAGGCAATACACTCATACACATAAAATAAAAATAATAAATAAAATATTTTTTCAAAAATAAAAAAAAAAATAATGAAGTCTTTTTTAAAATGTAATTTGCCATTTTTTTCTTTGTCTAAAAGAACCAGCTGTTGAATCATTTAACAGATATAAGTTATAAGCCAGACAAAGTGGACATGACCATAATCCAAGCACCTGGGAGTAGAGGAAGATGAGTTCAAGATCACCTTCAGTTACATAGCAATTTGGAAGCCACATGAGGCCTTGTCTCAAAAAAAAATTGTTGGGTGTGATGGTGCAGGCCTTTAATCCCAGCATTTGGAAGGCAGAGGCAGAGTACCGTGAGGTTCGAGGCCAGCCTAGTCCAGAGAGTGAATTCCAGGCCAGCCACAATTACATAAACCCTGTCTCAAAAAAAAAAAAGTTAAGAAACAAAATAATTACAAATCTTTGCTCTTGTTTTGACATTAGATAAAGAGTCTTTCCTATAAACTAATTCAAAGCATTTCAAATTTCCATATATTTCCATCCTAAACTTAAATAGTCTCCAAATTTGCTGTCAGGTTCTTTGGACTAGACTGGGTTATCATGTCAAACTTTAATGTGGTGCACGCCTTTAATCCCACCACTCCAGAGGAAGAAGCAGGTAGATCGCTGTGAGATCAGGTCAGCCGGGTCTATATAGTGAGTTACAGGCCAGCTGGGGCTACAGGGAGACCCTGTCTCAAAAAGCAGCCCCCCCCCCACCACACACAAAAGACTTGGAGCAGGGACAGAGGTTTCTGCTAAAAAATGTGAATTCCCATGCCCTAGAACCAGAGAGAGCAACACACCTATGTCTGAACAGGACCCAGAAATTTGCACTTTTAACTAGTATACTGGAGAGTCTTCATGTAGGCTGTCCAAGGTCATCCAATGACAGACTCTGAGATAACACAGCTCTAAGATGTCACAGAAAACATCTTGACATGGTCACACTAATGCCGTGGCTTTTGATAAGAAAGCAAGCAACCTCATCAGCAGAGGACCTGGTCAGTTCCTTCCATCCACACTCCACTGAAAGGCTACTGCAGAGATAAAGCATGCAGAGACAGATGACGGCCTCTAGCTTGAAGCTACAGTAGAAACAACTTATCAGCATATAATAGAGATTGCATAAGAGGAAGGCTGGAAAAGCCCCAAAATATACAAATGGAACTCAGAGACCCAAAGTCTATAGTGAATCAGGAATGAAGGGGAGAAGGCAGAAGCCAATTCCATCAGTACAAATAAATCAAACACCAGCTTCCACTTCCTGGTACCAACACAGATGGAACAAGTTCTAAATGTCATAATTCTCTACAAGCAAGGTCTTGTTCACACATTTGCGTGATAACATTAAAGAACGGTTGGGAAAGCTGGTCCTCTACAGGTTCTGCTTTTCTACTTCTGGGCTTAACCTGACCTCTGTTGGTGGCACTGCTGAACAACTGGTACCACAGAGAACTGCTGTTTGGGTATCTCTATCATGTTTTCCTCTAATGATTCCCAACACTTATCAGCAGAAGTCTGAGAAATCTTAGAATCACAACACGCACTAAATATTCACAGGCAAAGTGAAGCGCCTGTAGAACCACGTAAGCAATACTGACTGTAGCTTTTGCAGAGTCTCTGAAGACTCTGATCCTATCAGTCTTGCTTTAATGACACCTTACGGTTGGCGATGTGGCTCAGCTGGTAGAGTGGTTTGCTTAGGATGCACAAAACTGTGTTCAATCTCCAGCACCACATAAACCAGGTATGGTGGAACATGTCAGTAATTCTATAATGCAGGACGTGGGGATAGGAGATCAGAAATTCAAAGTCATCATCCACCACATAACGAGTTCTAGGACAATGTGGGTGACATGAGATCCTATCACAAATAAAACAAAACATAACATTTTAAAGATGGCAGCCTAAGAAACAGACACCAGCCTTTGGAGTCCTATAGACCGTTATGTACCCCACAAAGCTTTTGTATAATACATGGCCCAGAAGAGTGAAGACTTTATGGTCACTCTGATGACTATGCTAGATAGTGCCTGTGGTTACCTTGACACACCTGGGAAGAAGGAACCTCAATTAGGGAACTTCCTCTATCAGACTGGCTTGTGAGGATGTCTGTGACGCATTTTCTTGATTGTTGAGTGATGTGGGAGGCCTATCCCACTGTGGGTGACGCCACCCCTGGGCAGGTGATCCTGGGCTGTTGTATAAGAAAAGTAGCTGAGCAAGCCAATGGCAGCAAGAAAGTAAACAGCATTCCTCTGTGATCCCTGCTTCACTTTCTAAGCCTCCAGGTTCCTGCCCTGTCCTGAGTTTTTGTCTAACTTCTCTCAGTGATGGACTGTCATTTAGAAGGGTAAGTGCAATAACCCTTCCCTCCCCAAGTTCATTTTGATCAGAGTGTTTTATCACAACAGGAAATAAACTAGAACACTGACCTTTCAGAGGTAGGATCTGCACAGTTCAGTGGATATTTGAGCTCAATGACATCTCCATTCTTCTCTTTCAACTGCCCATGGTGTTCCATGTAATACTGGACCAGCTCAGCCAAGGTGGCAAACTTTTCCCCGCCATACAGGTCGTAGTAGTCACCAGTGTTCTGAATCTTGATGTGGGTGACAGCTCCATTTCTTCTAAAATAGTTCATTGAAAGGGGAGGAAAGAACAATATTCATAAAAAAAAGTTCTCACATTCTATAGCAGATTTCACCCAAACACTGAAACAAACTCAAGGAATAAGTTCACCCCATGCCTGTAACAAAAACAGTGAAGAGGAAATAACCCAATCAACCAACCATCACAACCCACAGGACTGCATCTTGTCAGTATCTGCACAGCTTCTATTCTGAATGACCTATTTTTTAAAAATATTTTTTATTATTTTTATTTTATGTGTATGCATGTATTGCCTGCATGTAGGTAAGTGCAACCATGTCATGCAATGCCTGCGGAGGACAGAAGAGGCTGTCGGATCCCCTGGAACTGGAGTTACAGGCAGTTATTAGCTGCCATGTAGGTGCTACGATTCGAACCTGGGTATTCTGCAAGAACAACCAGTGTTCTTAACTGCTAAGCCATCTCTCCAGCCCCCATGACTGACCTATTTTATGGTGTAAGTAAAGTGACAATTGTTGTCCTTATTAATCAAAGATACACAAAATTAAACACTCACCTACCTTGTAATCCAGAATATCCAATCCTAAATATTTGCCCAAAAGAATTAAAAGTGGATTGGGCTCGGCATGGTGGCACACACCTGTAGTCCCAGCACTTGGGAGGCAGAGGCAGGTGGACCTCTGTGAGTTCAAGGCCAGCCTGGTCTACATAGTGAGACTGTCTCAAAGAAAAAGAAAAGAAAAGAAGAGAAGAGGGAGAAGAAAACAGGACCAGAGTAGTCACCAGAAGCCTTACAAAGATATAGATATATAAAAAATAAAAACTCAAATATTTACCAGAACTGGGGAGGCTGAGACATGCAGACTGACATGAGTTCAAGGCCAAACTGGGCTATAGAGCAAGACCCTGTTAAAAATTAAAAAAAAAAAAAAAAAAACAGCCGGGCACAGTGGCACATGCCTTTAATCCCAGCACTTGGGAGGCAGAGACACTCTGTGAATTCAAGGCCAGCCTGGTCTACATAGTGAGCTCCAGGCCTGGGACTACAGGAAGTCCTTGTCTCAAAAAGACAAAAAAATTAAAAAAAAAAAAAACCTTGCTTTTAAACATACACATACTGCCCCAAAGTATGGTGCTGAACATCTGTATTTCCAGCACTCACGAGGTAGAGGCAAAAGCATCCGGAGTTTAACACCAGCTTCAGTTACATGAGATCCTGTCTCAAAAATAAATAAATAAATACAAAAAGACACAACAACAAAAATCAACAGGCCAGTGAAATGGCTCAGCAGGTAAAGGCACTTGCCACCAAGCCTGATGATCTGAATTCAATTCAATTCAATTCAGGATTTACATGGTGGAAGCACAGAACCAACTCTCACAAGTTGTCCTCTGACCTCCACATGTATGCCATTTGCACAGACTTGTGCACACACACCCATACCCTAAATAAATAAATGTTTAAAAAAAAAGCTAGGGCTGGCTGGTGAGATGGCTCAGCAGGTAAGAGCACTTGCTGCCAAAGCCTGGAAACCTAAGTGTGAGTCCCAGAACCCTCAGAAAAGCAGAAGAGAACTGGCATGCACACTGTAACACACACATCATACAAAAAAAGTACATTAACAGCTGGGAGAGGAGGTGCACGCCTTTAATCCCAGCACTTGGGAGGTAAAGGCAGGCGGATCGCTGTGAGTTCAAGGCCAGCCTGGTCTACACAGCGAGTTCCAGGCCAGCTGGGGCTATAAACATATTTTAAACCCATGAAATAATAGGGAAAGTTTAATATGGACAACCTAATAGAGATTATCAGATTAATATTAAAATCTCTAACATATAAAAGTCATACTGGTTCTACAGAATGTCCTTGTTCATAGAGATACTTAGTATGGGGTGGTAAATGTCACCACACCTGCAACTGTCTTTCAAAAGGTTCAAGGAGAAAATAACTGTACACATAAACATACTAGATATAATAAGCAAAAAACAGCCTTTGTGGCTCAAACCTGTCATTTCAACACTTAGTAGGAGGAGTTCAAGACCAGCCTTAGCTACATACCAAGTTCAAAGCCAACCTGGGCTACATGAGACTTTGTCTCAAAAACACAAAACAGAGTCAGACATGGCATGGCAGTACATGTCTTTAATTCCAGCACTCAAGGGGCAGAGACAGGTGGATTTCTATGAGATCAAGGCCAGCCTAGCAAGTTCCAGCATAGCAAGTTCCAGGCCAGCTAGAGCTATAGGGAGACTCCTCTTCTAAAAAAATAAAAATAAAACAATGTAATGTAAACTAAACTAAACTAAACTAAATTGAAAGATAGAGGAAAGGGGGCTGGAGAGATGGCTCAGAGGTTAAGAGCATTCACTGCTCTTGCAGAGGACCCAGGTTTGATGGCAGCTAACAACCATCCAAAACTCCAGTTCCAGGGGATCTGACACCCTCTTTTGACCTCCGTGGGCACTGCACGACACAGGTGCACTGATATACATGCAAGCAATACACTCATACACATAAAATAAAAAGTTAGAGGAAACAAAAAAACAAAAGAGCTGGTTCTGTGGTCCTGGCTCTGCTACTTACTAGCGTCTCTGAACTACTTTACCAACTTAAATCTCTGTGACTAAGCTTCTTCCTCTGAAAATTAAAAATGTGATATTTTATTCATGATCATCTGAAAAATTAAAATGGGTAGACTGGTTGGCACTTGCCTGCCTTATGTCAGTCTTCAAAAAAATGTTTGCTAACCAGATGTAGTATTGTACACACCTGTGATCCCAGCACTCAGGCAGGGAGACTAAGGCAGGAAGAATCAGAAGTTCAAAGTCATTTCTGTCTATATAGTGAGTTTGAGTGAAGTCTGGGCTGCATGATATCCCAACTCAAAAAGAGAGAGACTTCCTAAATCTCAACAAGATTCTAAATAAATTATCAAAGACATATGATTTACTTCCTTCTTTATTTTAAAAATATCTACAAAATCAAGTTTATAATGCAGTTCAGTTTAAGCTCCTAGAATGAACTAGTATAAGGAGAAGTAAATAAGAAAAAATCTATTAAAAAATTCCCAATACCTGCTCAAAGATATATAAAAGGATGCTATATTGTCCCTCAAATTTTAAAAAAAAGTGAAACTGCCCAGGGTTCATCACTATGAGAATGGATAAGTATGGTATGTTCCCACTACCTGACTATTATAAAGTAGCCATTAATGCCAACCTCTGAGGCTTCCTCTGAGGAGAGAGGGAGGGACACAGGACTGGACAGGGGAACAAAGGGGACCACAACTTCCTCACCAAGGTTTTACTTCTTGACAAAGGAAAGTGATGTGAAGAAACTATACAAAGCTTGTTTCCCATGATGAAATCCTCAGCAGAGAAAGAAAAAAACACAGGAGCTAGTTCAAGCAGTGAGGAACCAAGATTCAGCACTGGGGGCTCCAAGTCTGTTTATCAGCCCAATTCACTCAGTTGCCTCTCCAAGCAGAACACCCACCACCAAGGCCCCCTGTAGAGTTCCCAAGACTTGTCACTACAGGAGGTCACAAAGAGCCTGGGAGCAGACCACTGCCCTATGTGGCCCCATAGCAAAGCAGGCAAATCTTACAGATCTGGGGGAGGGAGCAAGATGACCAAATGTGGCCTGGAAAGGGTCTACATACTGAATAGGGTCTCCTTCACCCTCCAACTTACCTAACGGACAGAGTGAAGTCTCCAGGGTTACTTTTACTGGGCCTGGCCAAAAAACTGCCATCGACTCCTCTGGTCAACAGGAGATTTTCTGCCTCCACACCAGTGATGTTTGGGTGAAACCATCTTGAAGAAGGAGAAAGAGCAGTAAGGACTCCACAGCAGAGCTTTCGACACCACCATGGCTCGGCTGTCCATGAGCAGAGTGACTGGCGCACACAGCAAGGCTCCCTTCCCTTTACTGTCTCCTCAGTCACTTTTTCTGGGTGGGGACTTCAGACCTGTTGTCCTGCTGGTATAGGCATGGGACAGGGGCATTGCCAGTATGGTTGGGGTTGCTAAATATAGTGCACGCAATGAAAACCAATAAACACGTACACAAACAAACTACTTTATAAATGAGTAGGCATACTAAGGATCCAGCAGCCAGATTCTCCCTGCTAGGGAGAAGCAAATAGTTCACCCCAAGGTACTAGATTACAATAGAAGAATACAAGCTCTGCTTTGTAATATACATATGGTGACAGATACATATAGAAACAGAACAAGATACTTTCAGAAAACAATTTAAACTTCCTCCACAAACATAATTTTTTTTAAAAAGCCAATCATGCCAAGCATGGTGATGCACATCTTTAGTCCCAGCAGTCGGGAGGCAGAGGCAGGTCAATCTCTCTGAGTTCAAGGCTATCCTGGTCTACACAGTGAGCTCCAGGCCAGCTGGGGCTACAGAGAGACCCTATCTCAAAAATACCAAAATAAATAAACAAGCCAATAAACTTCAGAGTAGAGAATGTGTAACAGAATTTGTTTTTCTTTTGTAATTTTTAATTTTTTTTGTCTTTTTTGAGATAGGGTCTCCTTATGGCCCCAGCTGTCCTGGAACTCACTATGTAGACCAGGCTGGCCTTGAACTCACAAAGATCCGCCTGCCTCTGCCTCCCAAGTCCTGGGATTAAAGGCATGCACCACCATGGCTCCTTTTTATTTTTTTAAACAGGTTTTACAGTATAAGATTACAGGTATATGGGGCTGGAGAGATGGCTCAGTGATTCAAAGCACCAGCTGTTCTTACAGAGGACCAGGGTTTGGTTCCCAGCACCCACATGGCAGCTAACAATCATCTGTAACTCCAGTCTCAGGGGTTTGATACTCTTTTCTGTCTTTGCAGACACTGCCCACATATGGGTGACTTACATACATGCAGGCAAACACATAAAATATATTTTAAAAGATTACAAGTACACAGCACCATGACAGTGACACATATTATCTAATTCACATGATAACAGCATCACCAGTTATGGGTTCAGTTGAAACTGGGAGCCTGAAGACACAATGCACAGGGAACAACAATGTCATCTCTGATATTTCTGCCAAAAATGTATAACTTAGGGCTGGAGAGATGGCTCAGTGGTGAAAAGACTGGGGTTTGATTCCCAGTACCCACATGGTAGCTAACAATTGTCCATAAATCTAGTTCCTGGGGATCCAACACCCCCTTCTCCACTTCCCTGGGCACTGCACAACACAGGTACACTTACATACATACACGCATAACATCCATACAATAAAAATAAATAATTTTTAAAAATTTATAACTTAAATCTAGTTTTGAGGAATAGTAGACAAACCCCCAAAAGATAACATTCTACCAAGTAATGATGTGTTATGCTCTTCACAAATGAAAGATAGAGGCAGAGAATTATCCAGATCAAAGGATAGTAATGAGACACTGACACCAAGTATAATAGGGCACAAAGTCCCAGACAACACTATGGACCAGAAGAAGGTGAAAGGCAAAAAGTAATTTTGTTCTGTCATTTGCTATAAAGGACTTTACTGAAAGTATCCAAGGATCTAGGGAATCAACAGTGCTTCTACAACAATATAAATATTGATAATATTCTGTGGTTACATGAACAAATACGCTTGCTTTTAGGAGGTAACACTGAAGCCTTTTTTTTTTTTTTTTTTTTTTTTTTTTTTGATCTTCTTGAGACAGGGTCTCCCTATATCCCCAGCTGGCCTAGAACTTACTACATAGACCAGGCTGGCCTCAAACACACAAAGATCCAACTGCCTCTGCCTCCCAAGTGCTGGCATTAAAGGCGTGCACCACCACGCCTGGCCTCCAAGGTATATATTTTTAAAGATTTAATTTTAAGGGCTGGAGAGATGGCTCGGGGGTTAAGAGCACTGACTGCTCTTGCAGAGGGCCTGGGGTCAGTTCCCAGGATCCACACAGTGTCTAACAATCATCCATAACTCCAGTTCCAGGGGATCTGATGCCCTCTTCTGACCTCTGCAGGCATTGTATGACATGGGTGCACTTACATACTTACAGACAATACATACATACATACACATAAAAT